TTACTGTCTGAGCATCGAATTTGATAGGGTCGCAAGTACACTGCACAAGTGTGGCTCGGCTCGTTATCTACTTTGGCAAGGTCCGGATAATATGTTAAATTAATACTGATGGAGCGCACAAATCTGATGATGGCCTTGGGGGATTTTTGAAGGATTATCTCTTGCCTAGAACTGGGATTAAGGTCGGTTTGTGTGAGTCGTATAATAAACAAGCCATAGATGCTTTTGCCCGGGACACGCGACGAAGGTTGCTCCTAGCTATGCTACTATTCATCGGCTGGTCGGAAGGACCTGGGATGTGAACTTCTTGTATGCTCCTCGAGAGAGAAACAGGCTGGGTGATAGCATAACAAAGCTAGCATGACACCAATCTGGTAGGTTACGTTTCCAGGAGCCGCCATTATCTATTGCTACTTTGTTTCAGGAAGATATGTGGGCCTTGAGGACACAAAACTAGGATTGTTTAGATTTTAAAATCTTATTTATTATTAAAAAAAATTATTGAGTATTTGTATTGAATATACAATTCACAGGAATTTGCAAATACTGAATAGATGGATATTTTATAATATTATATAGATTTACATTTTTCTTTTAAAATGTATATGAAATATATAACATCATATATCTTTAGTTTTAATATTTATGATTTATATTTTAAAATTAAATTTACAAAATAAGTATTTTAATAGCCTAGTATTACACAATATCTTATATTTAAATACATTTCACATCAATATAAAAATTAGTATTACGCTCTCCTTTTTTCAACTAATTTTAAAATATTTTTAGTCGTTTTCTTTTTTTTTCTTTGATTTTGTTTAGGTAACAACGACACCAACTTTAATATTGGTTGCCGACCTCCAGTGATTATTAGTTCTCTTATTTTTCTTATTATGTCTTTTATTTTCTTTTTCTTTTTCTTGAGTCTTTTTAATTTTGAATAAGAATCTTTGTCCTTGTGACACATTTTTCCTCTGTTATTATGGCACGCATTTGCTCTGCTACTATGGCACGATTCATATGGTTTTTTATGTTTTTTGCATACATTTTGAGGTCGTTTTGGTTATCACACAAAAACCATCTCGACATTTTTTTCTGATTGGTTTGTCGATGATCGTGTATAGTCAAATCCCTCTTTTGGTAAAAGGTTGTTTACCGATATAATCAAAATTGTGTACCAAAGCAGCATGTCAGATTATTTGGTTCGCTCATTACTCTTTTATCACTCCGTAAAGTCTTTTATTCAATAGAGACAATGAGGTTTTTATGAAGGTTATTGGGTTTTGATGTTGATCGTCATTCTCAATTGAATGTTTTATTTTCTTCGTATCTTAAGTTGAAGATTTTACTTTGAGTATTTTGGTTATTATCATCTCTAAAATTTTCTCTATTTTGATGCGTTATAATTTTGATTCTTTTATTATTAATAAAATCCGGTTGACATTGTTTAAAAAATAGTATTATAAAAAACCTAGTCGATTTCTTCTTTCTCCTCTCCCTTTTTGCTTGTTTACAATTTGTCAATTATTGATCAATTCAACTTTTTCTTCTTTAATTTTGTTAACCAGTAGTGGCACCGGTTTGATACTGGTTTCGCCCGACAGTTATCTTTTTTCCTTTATTTTTAATAAGAATAATCATGTTTGTGATATGTTTTCTGCATTTATGACACGTTTATCTATGTCTTTTTGGCATGTTTTTTCTGCCTTTTGGTAGCTTACAGTTTTTTTTTCCTTTTTTTCGTTTAACTTTTATCACAGGGTTGGATTTGACATTGCCACGATGATCAAGATCGTATATTTGTTATCTTGTTGATCTTCCCTGCTTTGGACCCCGTATTGATTTGGATACACGTTTTGCGCTCGTGTATAGTTTCTCCCGTTGCTTGACTCTGATTTGCGATTTTTCGGTGGTCTTTTAGTAGTGTCATCCCTTTTTGTGGTTTTTTTTACCGATACAGACAGATTTGTTCGTATCTTTTTTACTCGAGCATTGGTTAGATTTTTTAATATTTCCTTTTATGATCCTTGTGTGATCTAGGTGGCTAGTTTTTTGTGTTAAGATTATAGGAAAATGCCCTAACTATAATTTAGTTTACGTTTACGATTATGTTCATAAATCTTCATTGTAATTCTGGATATTTTTATTTTTAATAAAACTAGCGGCTTTTTATAAAAAAAAAATAGTATTACCGTATCAAAAATTAAAAAAATAATTGATAAAATTTAATAAATATTAAATCACATTTTATATTAGTTTTAAATTATACTTTTATTATAAATTAAACTATTGAAATTTATAAATAAAATTATTTTAATATAAAATTTAAATATTTTCGCATAAATATTTGAATGAAACTAGTAAAATATAAAACAATGTAAACATTTCTTTAGCAGCTTTTTAAAGGATAAACATGCAGCTGGTAATGGGACTAATGATAAGGATGAATTTTTTTTTTCAACCAAATCTTGCATGCTCATCCCCAAAATTCAGTACCTTATCTTGGTCAAAAAAGACGAAGACAAATTGAGGGGAAAATGCCAACTGACCATGACTTTACGATTCGGTTCCTTGACTTTCGGCAATGGAAACGCAATTAGTCGGCTAACAATCAGAATCAGCTGCTTAAACAGGTTTTCAATCAAACAATTCTTAATAGATAAGTATATGAGAGATGTCATCGGCAGGGGTCTTATGGATAATTACCTCCCCTATCGAAAACCATAATGAAATACTTGTCGAATGAATTAAGGACATTAGGCGTTATCTTGAGGGGCCATGCCCTAGCACTTTTCAATGCATTGGGGAAGCTCCTCATAAGCTTGGCTGCTCTGAGAAGCAAGCTTTTCCATTGTCATGAAAATCTGCTTTAGATCATACTGTAAACTAGCAGAAGCGTCGCTGGTATCTCTTGGTGGAACAACGACACTTTCTTTGCTCCCCCACAGTGTCATCTTTTCACTCGAGCTTGCATTCTTTGCTCCTCTTTTTCCAAATCTTTTATTTTTCTTTCCATATCCTTATCAGCAATAATACTTTGCTGCAGTTTAGAATCACGGTGTTCCAGTATTTGGTTTATGCTCTTCCAAAATCCATGCATAGCTTCAGCCACCTCTTTCTCCGACACTCTATCCATGACTTCCGACCACTGGTTAAGCACACCAACGCTGGGGGTACTCCGCATCCACTAGAAGAGAAGGATGAAACACCGTCTGCTGTTATTTCCTCTGGTTCATATAGGAGACATCTATGTAGCCAACCATTCAAAGCTTTGACATAGCCCCTCTGAGCTTCAATCCAACTAGAGAAGCTAAGAATCCAGTTTGAAGCTCAAGCTTTAGTTTCATTGCCACTTCGAGATTAGTGTCGTTAAGATTTTCATTCATACTAATGATATCCAAACATTTTGCTTCCATAACCTTTTGGTACTGACAGCTATGGCATTCTAGCATTACCTTCCACATTCCACACAATCTAAAACAAGTTAATTGCAATCAGCCACCTTTCCAACTTCAGAAAACCAAGCAACTTATTGTCACTTCAGAAATGAAAGAAAAAGAAAAACCAAGGTCCGAGAATCATCTAATCACAAGAATTTTCTTGATTTTCTCCAATGAGATTGATTTCCCTAATCCGGACTTTTAACTAACGAACATGTGAAGCTTCAGAGAATCCAAGTCTTCTCTTCAAACTCAAATTATCTCTATTATCAGGCCATCTATTGGTTATAGTTGACTGCAAACTTATTCCCAAAATACCAACCAGGTTCCGAAATATCTACATCTAATTAGTCTGAAAATTCAAGTATTATGATAAATGAATCAGTTAAAATGTATCTAGGGAAGATACAGCCTCCTACTGTAAATGCAAGTCACTCCAAACCTAATTGTTTTATCTTTTTCCTACAACTTTGGTACGTTGAAAAATTGAACAGTGATGTACTCTCTAAGTCTTACTTGTAATACCCCTGAGAGTTGCATAATGTAAAACAGAGTAATGTACTAATTTACTGGAGTTACAATTTACCTGTGAATCAGCTCATTGATGTGTGGCCACAACTCTTCAACCATCAGCTTATTTATGGTAATTGCTATGTTGTCAATAACTTGAACTGCAACTCTCATTTAGTAGATAAGGCCCTAATCGAAGTTCGTGTGGAGTCAACTCGGTGAGCATCAGCGCCCTTCTGATCCATGCTTTTCATCTGGCTATGCTTCTTTGAATGAATTATACGCAGCTTTTCCTCATCCTTCAAAATATATAACTAAATGAGACTGGGCATCCTTAAAAACACAACCTTGTGTAGATATAAGGCTAAAGATGGAGGAAAAACTGAAGTATATTGGACAACAATCCAACATGCTCATCATAATATTATGTTTCTAAACAGTCTTACTTCAGTGAAGGATTCCAAAACTGGGTCGGATAAGCTGCATGAAAAAAAATATAATGCTTGAAACTTGGATTTTAGAGCATTGTACAGGCGCTGCCTAAATCATTGTGAAACACTGTACTTTCAGGAACTGTCTCTGTCGAATCAAAATGAGTGATGTGTGTACCCTTCAGGTTTAAAATTTCAACTGTACGGAGTTGATCGCAAACAATTCAAGCCTATGGCTAAGGCTCTTTCCAGTGGGTAAGTTTGTGTCCAAATATATATAACAGCCGATTTGGTGGAAAACAGATCAATTTCATAGATTACATGAAAATATAGCAGTTTTGTGATCACTGTTATCAATATATATGTGCTATAAAACATATCAATTCTGCCTGAAAAGCAAAACCTTTTAAAGTATAAATCAAGCTTATAAACTTTGGTTAAGTATTTACCGAGTCGTTCATCTTTTCGAAACACAAACACGAACTAAAAGAAAAAGGTGAAAAGACAGTAAAATTTAAAAGCATCTTGATTCTTTAACCATACCTTGACTTCATCATGGAGCTTCTTCTCCCACATACACAGTTTCCTCAGAGTAGATGAAAGATTCTGTGAACTAAAAACCTCATCATTATCCATAGAATCAATCTTCTCTTTGGCAGCGAGGACTCTGTTTCCGATGAATTTGAAGTAACCATATGAAATATCTTCGCAGGACCTAAATGAACCATTGAATTGAAGAAATCATAAAAACTATGTAGCCAAACCGGCAGAGAATGTTAGAAACTATACCTTGATAAAAAGACTTTTTGTGATGATAACGAAATTTTCCAGTGTCAAGCATATCCAAACTTCATTTCCGGACACCGAAGCTTTCTCAAACAGGGCCTGTAATTCTTTGATTACCTCAGAGACACTTTGTTTACCGCTTTGGTTTCTGGGTTCATCTGTAGCAGCCTTGTTTGAACCTTGTCAACCTCTGCATCACCGTTCTTTACTGGAACAGCTTCTCTGCTCGGATTTTCTCTTTTCTTCAGTATAATCTGTAGTAGATTTCTCGTCTCCGTGAATTTGCTTTAATGCCTGTGCTTCAAAACGGTCATCAGCTCCTTCTCCCTTCACTGGTTTGCTCGAAAAATAAGGCAACTCGTATCTCTCGTAAATTTCATCAAAAAAGTTCAAGTAATCCCAAGCCGCGCTCCTCGGAGCCGGAGGTGGAGGTGTTTTCCAGCCCGAGCCACTGATTTCTCTGCTTTGGTTCGTATTAGCATGATAATCATGATTAGACAAAGGATATAATGTTAAGAACCCCTGGTTAAGATAACTTATATGGATTTCGTTAATATATTTACTAAAATCTTCGCCCGACTCTTCTTCTTCTGAATCAGTATCGAATTGAATGTGCGAATCTGAGTTAGAACTCGAAAAGAATGGTCAGGTGAGGACAGCGGCGAACGTAGCTTCGGCGGCTGCTCGATGGAGACGGTAGAGTCATCGCCGGACGAAGATTTGAGACATTGATCGAAGAAATGGTGGAGAGCTGGGCCCAGAGTCTTGAGCGACTGCATGTATGCCATGTGTGCATCGGCAAGGGCGTAGCTTTGCTGGAGAGCGTCTTGGATGAAGTTACAGCGGTCGCGGCACAAACAGACCGCCGGTAGCTGGTCGAGTTTCGAGGTTACGCAACCCATTAAAACCGATCACTTGAACCCAAAGAACGATGAAGATTTTGGAGGTCTCAGTTTCTTTTCCTAATAAAGTCTCTCTCTCTCAAGTAACGGCAAGGGCTCTTGGGAAGCAGAAATGAAAATGGAGATTAATGGAGGAGGCTGAGGCAGCCGTTACCAATTGTTCTCCAATTGTGGAGCATTTAAGATGCATCTTTACTGTGTGGTAGGAAGAATGAAGAAAACAAAATGGGGTTATACAAATGCAGTCGAGTGGGGTCTTATACAAATGGAAAGAATGGCGGGATAAACATAACGTATCTTTGATGTTTTCCTATTCTTGCACCAGTGGTCCTGCTGCTTTCAATATTTGCAGTTTTTCACTACTCTTTCTTGCTTTTTTCCCTCCTCGTTATATCGTATATTCTACCATTGTAACACTAGTATATTCTTGGTCAGGAATAGTTACCTTTTTACTTTTGTTTTTGATTTAATTGGATCCATGTATCGTATAAAATTAAAGAAATTAGTTCAATTATTATACATAGAGAAATAAAACCAAATGCATCATCTAAATCTCATATAGAAAAAGTCCATTTTATGATGATGATTTTGACAACACAAAACCTAAGGAACAAGTCCATGTCCATCATGGGGATTTAGTCCAGTGGATGTGGAACTACAACTTAACAAAACCCTTGCCTAACTAACCCATCTCTTCTTTTCTATCTTCTTGAAAGTGGGGAAATGGGTGGAGGGCATGGCCCTCATTTTCATCCCAAGCTTTTTTACGTGACCCTAATTCCTATGAAAGGCTATTTAAGATAGGTTCTTTTCACGTGTCATTGCATGCTATCACCTGACTGTAGATGTAGGTCTAACCTCTACATTAGGGCAAGAAAAGGTCCCTTCCCCCTCATCCTTGCACTCATCTGACTATTAGTAGGCAACAATTGCAGGTGCCATTCATTTTCAGAACCTAAGTGCTCAAGTCTGGGGAAGGGAAATAGCTTTTGTCCCTCATAAACTCTAACTATGATGTTTTAGTTTTCATGTTTTAAATACACCCCTAACCTTTACTGCTGTAAGGGGTCACTGCCCAGCAATTCCTCCTTTTCTCTTAAATGGTATCAGAAATTGTCTCATTCGAGAAATTATTTAGGATAATTGGAAATTGCAATTATAGCGACAAATGAAAGTGAATGATTATGCTGTTCGAGGCAAACTCAAAGTGGAAATACGGCAATGTAATATTCCTTAATTCATGAAGCTTGGAAAATGGAAATAAGGGCCACTGGGATTAGAGCCTCACAATCAGAGGGAAACTATTTTGAATTTGCAGCGATGTCAATGGGCATGGGAGGAGCTGGCTGTCCCACTTGAGCTTACTATGTACCATGTTTGGTGCATTATTTAGTGGTCCTTTTCCTTTTTAATTCAATTTCCCTTTTTATAATGTATATGGCCTAAAAAGAATTAAAGCACTTCAATTATTTTCACTTTTCTTCGTTTCAACTTAGAAATCTTCATGCCTTAAGCGGCTTTAAACCCATTTAAGGAAATTCAGTATTATTGCCCTTTTTCAAAAATATCAATGTCGAATTCAGTAGTAAGAAATATATATTTATTTTTCAAAAATAAATTTAAACATAAAATATTTCTATTAAAAGAAATAATCTTAAATATAGAATATAAAGTATAAAATATTGCTATTGAGAAAAAAGATCTTGAAATTAACCAGGCCTACATCCTCAGCCAAAGGCCTAAAATGAAGCCCAAAGCTTGGTTTATTGGGTGAGGAAGGTCCACCTCTTTGGTCACTAAGTGGAGTTTATATGGTTTTTAGGTAACGTGAGCTTTTTTTCAATGAAAAAGATTTTGTATTGATGCGAAAAGTCATATAACATGAGAAAGGAAGTTATACCATATTGATCCAACAGACGTGAAAGCGAAACGGCGGCAACAAAATTTCATAGCCCTAAGCTAATTTATAACGATAATAATTTATATTAGGATGATTTAAAAAGTAAAAACAATTATTCACACTCAAAATAATAAAATGATATAAAATATCACATAAATATTAAAAGAGGTGCAATCTTCGGACAAAAATAAAAGAAAATAGAGAATTATTATGGACCCAAAGTTGCCCATTCCATGCATATAACATAGTAATTAGAAGTTTAAAATTTAAGTTGTTAAACTAGAACTCAGGAAATTAAGGTGAATATCTCTCGATTCAGTAGTGTTTTATATTTTTCATTAATATGATGCTTTCGATGTTTTGTATGTATGCATGTTGTATTATTCGAATAAGAATTGAAAAAATTATCGAATTATTTTTAATTGTGAATAATATCTTATAATGATTTTAAAAAGATCTCTAAAACTATAAGACTTTAAGAAATGACGTAAGATGTTAGTCACTGTTTAATAAAAGTTTAAAATACCCTTGAATGGGTGGAATGACTAAAATATTTAAATTGAAATATTTTATTTATTTACTTGTATTCTGAGTTTAAAAAAAAATATAGTTATTAAGCAAGAAATTACTGTCGCCCTCGCCTCTTCAATGATGACTACAATTACAACCTTATTCCTACAAAACATGAAATGATGGGTCCCTCAAAACATCGTATATGTCTTTTCGATACCATGTAAACAGCTTTTGTAATGGAAAACAAATCAAATTTCCAATTATTGAAATGGATATAATAGACATGTTTCAGTTCATGAATATCTGAATTAATGTCAAATCTTTTGCATTATCTACGAGACCAACAAACTAAGGGGCCACCGATGTCCAATTAGGTCTTGTCTTTTGTATGATCTTCATACTTTGCTTTTACCGGGAAACTTAAGTTCTGACCAGAAATCCACTGTCAGTGGCGGTGAAGAATCTAAAATTTCTCAAGGCAAGTTGAAGGGAACAAAAGCAGCTCCAATTATTTGCACAATGATATAGATTTATCATCTCGTATTTCATTTCCAATGCAGCATTATATTGAGCAAAACGGATGATGAAGGAATGAATAATAAATAATGATAAGACAAAATATTAATTATTATATATTTATTTTAATAATTAATTATTTAACTTAAATAATAATGTATTTTTTATAATTGTATAATGAGACAGTTCTTTATACGATGCCGAAACAAATACTAACAAAAATTTACAAAATATGAGGAATGTACACCATTAATCTAAAATTTGGAGGAAAAAAACATGACAGGTTTACACGAATGAAAAGATAAATTACACATGTCTACTTGGTGAGAATATTTAGCAGCAAAAACCTAGCTTTTATCAGACTCCTAAAAGCTTTGTCGCTATCACTTTCGATATCAGCAATGCTTCTATCCAAGTCTTGCATTCTCTTCAATACCATCTTCACTTGTTCATCGTCCCCCTTCCTTTTCAAACCCCACACGTTTGCTTCACCGATTTGTTCGAATTCTTTGATACTTCCCTCAACCTCAACCTTGTTGGCTTTCTTAGACAGCGCCAACTTGATCCAAGACGATTTTTTAGAAGCAAACGCCATTGAAATCCCATTGAAAAGTCCCACGGAAACCGAAACCGTTACTTGGATAACATCGTTGATAACACCGATCAGCTCAGTATCCGCAATAGACACTTTAGCTGATGCAGGGAATGAGTATCGTCCGATGCATCGGATAGAGAACACGAGCTTAGCTATCTCTTTAGCCAACTTCTTGCGACTTTTCAAATAGATAGCGATCCTCGAGCCGTCTTTTCTCCTTAGAGCCACTTTCGCCGCTAGTTGCTCTTCTTTGAGCGAGAGAAATGATGTTTGGAAGATCCCATAAACATTGACAAAACGTAGGAAATCTTCGAGGAGTTTCTCCACCCATTCACGCTTATGGCTTAACAACTCCTGGGTCTGTGGGAGCTGAAGAATATCGTGGAGCGAATCCTGAGCGACCTTTAGGCGGCTCAAACCATCACAAAGCCAAGCTGAGGTTCGGTTATCGGGATTTCCTCTTTGAGTTGGGAAATCAAAGGGTGTGATCTGCATGGAGGAGAGATGGATCTCAAGTGTTGAGAAACCGATGGTTTAGATGGACGATTAGGGGGTTTGTTTGGGAAAGAGAACGAGCGCCTGAAAACGCCAACCATTTTTTTTGGGTCTATTTCATGTGGTTTGTAATTTGGGTCTCACACGGGGTTGTGTGATTTGACAGGTAAATTGAAAATTCGATGGATATATAAGGGGAGGACCACTAATTCAGGCGCACGCACGAGTGACAGTGTGAGCTGGATCCGCGAATAAATATTAGTTGTTATAGTTAAAAGTAAATCCGCTTAAGTAAATAACAAGGCAAATAAACTAAGATTTAAGCCGTAATGTGAAGTCAACTAAAGAAGATTTAAGCTATAATGTTTCACGCAGTACAAGAGGGATTATATGGAGCTTAAGAATCTCTGAGTAACACTTAATAATTATAAACAGCGATGGAGATCATTTTAAGTCAACTAAATGGTGCATGGTTCTCAACTTCCGATTCAGATTAATCGTCTGATTAGCCTTTTATTCACGGATGGAAATGCATGAATGCGTATCTGCAAGCAGTTATACGTTATCTTATCAGAAACAATAATGTCAGGGAAAAATAAGTACACGTTTTTGAAAATGGTCTGTGTGGTTTCTTCTCTTTTGTATTTTAATTGGCATACCGCCATTCAAGAGATATTCCAGACATGATTCGCTGCTGCATATCTGCTCTCCCACCAGAGGTCTTTGCACAATCATTCACTATCACATATATTTCACCTTGTAATTCATTATTGACATTAGACCTAAATCATTTTATGCTTAATACTAAATTAAGTGTTAAAATACCTAAATTCTCAAATAAATGTTTGAATTATTTTTTGACTCATCCTGGTGCATAACATTACAAATATTATCCATTTAAGTGTTCCGATCATCAACGATGTTAATTTTCCCACGTGTCATAATTTGATAGTTTAGAAATTTATTTTTTAAAAAAATAAAAATAATTTATTTTTAAAAAGTTCCAGTTTTTTTTAAATATATATATATATATATATATATATATATATATATATCACTTCAATCTCTTAAAATTTCTTATTATAATATCATTTACTTCAACCGTCGGTCATATCCGGCCACCCATATTTTACCGACCACCTAATGATCAGTTACAACTCTTACTATCATCTCAAAAATCCAAAATTCTCAAATACCTAAATTTAAATTTTCAATCTCTAAATTCCAAATACTCAATCCTTTAAATTCGATAGTGATAATCGGTCGTTTCGCGAACCATGACAACTGATCATTTGGTCCGCCGTTGGGCCATGGAAGGAGGGAGAATGAGAGGGGAGCAGGGGATGCGAAAAGAAAAGTTTAGGGTTTTTTAAAAAATAATAATATTTTTATTTAAAAAAAATAAAAAATTTAAAATTATAAAATTATAAAATTATAAAATTATAATACGTGTCCCTTAACGAGATTTTATAACAGAAGTTAAGACTAAAGCAACTAAATAAATAACGGAACTAGATTTAATATATAATTTAAAATTATCTTTTCATTAATTAGGGTTTAAGACATGTATTTTTAAATTAGCCTTCATCTTTAACATTTTATCTCAGAATGATCAAAATTCAACAGCTAGCAACCACGTGACATTACATAAAAGTAAATTGTTAAGGTCCAATTTCCAAAACTCACAAGCCATGTGATTGATGATATGCCATCATTGACATGCCAATGATAACTTCATTTTCTTTATTAATTGGTAAATAGTGTTTGTAAAAAAAAGTTGTATGGGTGAATTCACGAGATAATGTTCTCGAATTTTTTTTTTCACGATATGGTGCACATCCCAGATTAATTGCTGGAATGGGGTGAATTCTACAGTGGCCTTGGAGGTCGCCATGGTATCCGGGCGACCTTGGAGGTCGCCATGGCATCCGAGCGACCGACCTGTGTGTATTTTGCAAAGGAATAGGTCGCCATGCAATCAACATGGGACGTGGGAATGCATGGGGGAGGGGAGCGACCGACCTGTGTGTATTTTGCAAAGGAATAGGTCGCCATGCAATCAACATGGGACGTGGGAATGCATGGGGGAGGGGATGCATGCTGTGCATGGGACGTGGGAACTATGCATGGCCATGCACGTCGAACGGTGTAGGTCACGGCGGCGTGGTAGGTAGGTCGCCATGGAGTCTCGGCGACCAAGGTCTGGGAGATTCCTGTAGCTGCTGTAGCTGCATGCATGCGTTGCATCATAGCTGAGAGATTCCTGCACCCGTAGCTGTATGTGTTGCATCTATAGTTGCGTTATTGCAGCGTTAATTTAGCTGTCAGCCTTTCAATGCTCAATAGTTAGACGATGCAATGCTAATATTATTTGCTTCAACAATCAAATTTTATGACTCTGTCCAACGCTCAGTTGCTTTATATAAAGGATATGGGGTTTAGGGTAGAAGCACAAGCAGAACTAGCACATATAAACTTTGCCGAGAGAAAGAAAAGGAAGAAGAAGAAAAGAAGATAAAGGCTCAAACATAGTTCGTGAGGTAATTTTTTTATTGTTTAATTTAGTTTATTATATGAAATTATTAGTTGTTAGTTTCGGGTTTAGGGTAAAACTAAAATCTAGTTAATTAGTTTGTTAGTATAAATTATTAGTTTGTTAGTTTAAGTTATATTATATAGTTATTAGTTTAAGTTATATATTATATAAAAAAATTAGTTAATTAGTTTCTAGTTTAAGTTATTAAATATAAAAAATATTAATTAATTTGTTAGTGTCTTTAACGTATATTAGGTTGTTCGTTGAAGTTGAAGTTATTATAAAAAAATTAATTAGTGCTTAATTAGTTTGTTATTTTAACTAAGTTATATTATAATAAAGAAATAGTTTATTAGTTTAAGGTATATTATAATATATTAGATATAAAATTAATTTGTGGGAGTATTGTTGTTTAAATAAATATTTTGTTTACACATACAGGACATTATTTCACAATTTGCCCACGTACAGATTGATTCGAAGAAAGAAACAAGGCAGGAAAAGAAAGTAAAGGAAGAAGGCATAAAGACGTGAGTAATTTATTATTTTTTGTTGTCCATTTTTGTTGTTGTGTATGTGTAAATTAGTTAGTTAGTAAGTTTATATTAGATTATAAACTAATTTGTGCGAGATAATTTCCGTTTTAAAAAATATTGTGTTTAAAAATATTAGTGTTGTTTTAAAAATATTTTGTTTAATTTACATTGTATGTGTATATTAGTAAGAAGTAAAAATTAATTGAATGAAATAATCCGGACAACGCATTATCTCACGAAATAATTATTTCGAGAACATTATCTCGACAGTTTTGCCTAACAAATTTGTTTGATTTTTAAAAAGTAAAAAATATTATCAAACTAATCATTATTATTAGTAATAATTACTAAATGATTAGTATTAATCTAAATCATTAAATATTTATAATATAATATTAGTGATTATGACTAAATCATATTATTATTAAATCATTAAATATCAAATCATTAGATTAATAGTAATTATCAAATCATTATTAGGTTTATTAGTAAGCAATCAATCAAGTTAAATAATAAATTTTATTTGATCATTAATATAATAGTATATTATATTATATTTAATAATTTATGAAATTATCTTATCTAATTTTTAATCTAAATTAATTATTTTTTTATTTGTAGAGAAAATGAGCAACAACTTTTTCACGATTGTCCATTATAATGGACAGATTATGGAAAATGAGGTCGGAGTAGTTTTTCAGTCTGAAAAACCAATAAATATGATGTTCAAAAAGACATCACATTATAGAAATGAGCATAAGATAGAAAGAAAAATTCGAGCTGCAGTTGATGGTTTGAGGTATAGGTTTATGATATGCTCTAACCCAGTCAGATATGCTGCAGTTCCACTTGAAGAAGATGATGATATTGGAACCATGGTTGGATTACATGAGTCAACCAATATAGCAGTTATTGAATTATTTGTTGATGTGCGTAACATATGTGATGTTCCTGGGTCATCAAGAGGTGTGGCTCAAAATCCATCTGAAATGGCTTTATATAGTCAGTTTGAGGAGCCGACATACAGGTTCCCGAACAGTTTTATGGCACTATTGGAAAGTGTAAATGAAGTCGGGGGGACATCTACAGCAGCAGAGTATGAGACGAGAAACATACCGGAATTGGTTGATATTGACGCTGAAAATCGATGGGGAGAAATTCATGATGATTCAAGCGAAGATGAAGAACTGAAGAACCCGTTTGGGCGGCGACGAAAATATTTTTGGTGGAGGCAATTGATGAAGTTCCGACACCGTATGAAGCGGGGACATCTACAGCAGCAGAGTATGAGACGAGAAACATACCGGAATTGGTTGTTGATATTGACGCTGAAAATCGATGGGGAAGAAATCATGATGATTCAAGCGAAGATGAAGAAACTGAAGAACCGTTTTGGGCGGCGACGAAAATTTTTGGTGGAGGTGCAATTGATGAAGTTCCGACACCGTATGAAGCTACTCCTCACATGTACGAGATAGATTATGATGCAATGAGGGCACTGAATTCCCAGACATGCCACATTTACCTCCGTACCAAATGACTGAATCATTCGATAATTCTGGTGAATTTTCAGTTGGGGTGCAATTCAGAGGAAAAAATGAAGCTACGCTGGCGATTAAAGAGTACTGCATCAAATGCCATGTGATGTCCATGTTGCAGAGTCCAACCAGAAAACCCTATACACAAAGTGTGTAAATATGGCCCAGAGTGCAAGTGGAAGATCAGAGTGTCGAAAAATCAAAGGCACGATGTTTGGGTCATCACGAGGTACAATGGTTCGCACACATGTTTGCGAAACTCCATCGAACAAGACCACCGACTATTGGACTCCGATGTAATATGTGAATACGTGAAGGCGATGGTTGAAAAGGATCCAAGGATATCTTGTTCAGTGTTAGCTGCATCTATTCGAAGCCAATTTGGATATC